CCCATTTTGGAGTGGACTGTGTGATGAAGATGTAGTTATAAAATAAATAATGATTCAGCTCTAACTTTCAATTTTGTCCTTATTAAGTTGCTCAACCAGGTGTTGAAGCCAATAGAATTTGCTTTTCCTCTGTTGGAAAGCTATTTTGAGTGCAGCGTGACTGAAGAACAGCCACTTATTAGCTGCTCGGCAGCGCTCTCAGCTTTTCTGCTAGAATCCCCCGCAATTGCTCGAACACCACTTTTGCCAATACTCATCTAGCTCAATCAGTAGCTGTAACGCTGGGGTATGAAATTATATGTGTTGTTGCAATGGTGGTAAGTTGCCTGCTGTTTAACATCTCTGTTTCATGGCCTGGTGTTGGGAAGGATGCACGCTTATTTTGAGCTTCAGTTTGTATTTAATTCTTTCTCTCTTCAGTCTATCCAATTGAATTCCCTTGTAGTTTCAGTGCAGTATGCATCCTGGCCGAAATTCCTGCGTAATGATGTGTGCTGTTAGAGAGTTGCCATGTTTCATGCTGGAGCTGTCTTTCCTTCATGATGAGGGATGTAATCCTTCTGCATCCCAACTGGACTGTGAGGATTAAAGTTTGCAGTGCACTGTGTGTACCTTGCATGCTATTGAAGTAGAAATTACTGTTTGTTACAGCCAGTCTGAATGCCATCTGGGATTTCCATGTTATTGTTTCAGCTCTATTGTACATCACCAAACTTGAGCTGGTACCACGAACAAAAGATTAGCATTGCATTCTGTTGTGTGTTTGGTGCTGTGTCCAGCACCCATATAGGGCCACATATATCCTGAGAAGCTGTGCTCGGCACACTAGGGCTCCAAGGTCTTTTCTGTAGCTTGAAGCCTGCAACATCCCTTTCCTTTTTCTTACTCTTTTTTCGTACTTCCACTCTGGTATGGGCTGGATCCACAGAGCAGTGGATCCCTTTGGCCTTCTCCACTGTCAGCCTTGCCTGCTATTAACTTCAAGTCAGCTTTGGGAGACTGTGTAAGAAATGATGGTGGAATTGGGCTCTGCATTTTGCAAAAGATGCTTTTTCCCATGCAACAGAATTGTACCTTTGTGTGGCATCTAAAGTCCTGTGGGGATATGGTGAAAAGGGCTGATCTTAGGCCTGAGACCCCAGCTAGTGATGTAAGTGATACAATATTCTTGTATGCTTGTAACAGCTACAAAACTTAACCCCAAACCTGTTTTGCTAGTTTGCTGTGAGATCCTTCTTCAATCTCTGCAGGGCCAGATTAATATCTCTGAAGAAAACAAATCACAGCAGTGGTTTGTTACTCTGCTTTTAAGCACCAGCTTTAATTCAGCTAAGAGTGCATTTTAAAACACATTCCTGTGACTTCACTGTCTTTGTAAGCCACAGTAAACAGGGTTTAAATGACTGTGGGAACTCCCCCAGTATCACAACAGATACTCACTGACAGAAAAAATGGCATAAAATGTAACCACCCAATTCACTTGTGAGCTTTCCTTGGGAACGAGATCAACTAACAAACAGTTTGAAGTTCACTTCTTAACTGAAGGATTCTATTATATCTCTCACCTAAATAAACTGGGAGGCTTGACCTTCCTAAAAGGGCACTATTAAAGAGGTACAAATGTAGTCCTCTCACCACACTAATTACTGCTGTTTACATTTTTGTAGATCTGACAGGTTTCAGTTTTAGTGTTAGACCCCAATGCTAAATAAATACCTACCAAAAGTTAGACGCTATCCCACTGAGCTTTGTGTTCTCTCACTCCCCCCATAGCATCAAATTCTCCTCAACTTTTGAAGTGTCCCTTCTGGTTTTGTGAACGAGCACAAAATTAATTTGGCAGGAATTCTGCTGTAACTGTTCTTCAGTGAGGACAGCATCATGTGCGTTACTCTTCTCCCCTCCCCTCACGAGACATCAGTTTCTGTTTTCATGAAGAAAAGCATAGGTAGTATCTACACTTTCAGATTCTGGAGCCAGCCTAGGGAGCAATGCCTATTTGATAATTTTCAAGCAACCACGCTGTGTGGACATATATTTGTTTGTCTCTACACATCTCCAACCTGCTGTCCGATTTCAATCAATTTTTAATTAATGTCTTTAGAGATACTAAGCTCTTAGAAATCTCATAAAAATAAGCAACGGGTTAAAGAAAAATAAACTGTATTAGTGACCCCACCAGGCAAAGGTTTCAGCAAAAGTAACAGTCATCTTTGGCATTTGGCCTGGTATTGGGGAAGCAGCATGGAGAGCTCAGAAACATGCGTTGCCTCTTACCCAGCCAGTAGCTGGGAGCAAGGAGATGAGGTTATAAAAAATGTGAACAGAAAGCTCCAGGTGAAATTTCAGGGAATATGGGGCTTATGAAAAATCTGTAGGAAGCAAAGTTAAACAGAAAAATGTAGGAGATGGAACAGAGTGTCAAAGCAAAAGAGAGGATGGAGATTAGATGCAAAAGGGGTAGAAGCATTTAGGAAAGAACAGATGGGGCAATGGAAAAAAGGGGTAAATTTGGGTAGGGGAGATTCTGGGAGGGACAAATGAAGAACTGGGAAGAACAGAGAAGAGACTGGGAATCAGAATGAAAGAATGATACAGGAGAAACTGACATCTAATTTTTTATTACAAGATAAATGTGATTTATTGTCATTACAGCTTCTTTAATTACCTTTCAACCTTTTTTTAATTATGCCCATGTGTTGCAAATAACAGGGTTTTATGACTTTTGTTCTCTCACCTTTCCCATGGCTTACATTCCCACTTTAATTACTACATTGACACCAGATGCCTCGCCTAATGTTTTTGCACCCGTGCTCCCTATTTGTGGTGATATCGCACTGGGAGAAACAAAAGCACCTGTCTCCCCTGGTTGAAGGCTACTTGCTTTTCTTGTGGATGTCCACCAGATGGCAAAGCAGGTATTTTTGTAGAGTTTCCAGGCCACCTTCAGATACTAATTTACCCTAGGGAGAGTGGGGGCTTGTTAACAACAGATCCTTTACTGCATAAATTAAAAAAAAAATGGTGATTAAAAATAAGTTATTAGATTCTATGTGGATTTCCTGGGAATAATAACAAAACAGGAAAAAAAAGATGCAGTTGTAAAATGGTGGTGCTGTTGGGAAGGCACAATGTTCACTCTAGTCACTGTATCTCTGTATGAGGAATACAACTCTCAAGAATCTGATTTAACATTACTACTTTTTTCTGTTGATATAGATGTTATAGGGACAATAATGTTTTCTCATGTCTAATCTCTTTGAAATTGTTGTGACTAGACCAGGTCTTAGAATGAAATCCATGGTAAGTAAAACTAAATTTCCTAGCTCATGTGGTTATAGACATAAGAATAGCAGTGAGGCTTGTTAACACTCTTTTCCCTCCAACCTGCCCTCATGATGTCGAGATTGTAATTATGGAGATAAGCACTGATCTTCTTCCCTTACCTCTATGAGGTTTACTTACTGTTTTAACCATGTTGACTCAAGAAACTTCGATCATTTAATCATTGAAACGCGGTTGCACGTATATACAGTACACAGAAATGGAGAGTTTCCTGACAGAAGCTACATCTGGATAGCATTTGTTACAAACTAATGTAACTGTATCAGTACACAAGCTTTGTACAGACAGGGCACATATCTGACATTACAAGATGCTGAATGTTTTTAATCACTTAGCTTAACTTTACATGGCATTGCCCCTTCATCTGGTGCACTATCTCTGCTGAAAGGCCTCTACAAGAGGCAATGAAAAAAATCTAGTCCGTTTAGCTTCCTCCAAGAAACTTAACCCCTTCTCCCTGCAAAAAAACCCCTATATCAAGAGACTGTTTAGACTTAAACTAAAAAAAAAAAAAAAGGGGGGGTGTGAATTTACCCTTCTCTCTTAAGAAAAAAATCCATGTCTTTTCAGGTTCGGGGTTTTTTCCTAGTGGTAGGAACAAGGGAAGGATGACTTGTTTCTTTAATGGTTTTGTAGGTTGACCTGAATTCTGCTTCCAGCAGAGGAACCATTGATAGGGGTAAGTGGGAACGTTACAGCCTTTCTCTTCAGCTGGCTGCTTGACTTACAGCTGGCATCAACTATATTCGTTCAATGGCTCCCAATCAATTATATCCTGTAGTACTCATTTTTCTGAGTATCAAGACACAAGTAAAAAGATGAGGCCGTTCCCACTCCAAGTAGATGTTAGGGTAGTGCGGAAAAAAAAAGCTGGTGCTATATTTGGAGCATTCCTAATTGCACTGTTCTATTTCCAGCCACCGAAATCTGCGCTAGAATTTTAATTAAGGGCTAAATTCGTGCAGCAGAGCCTAACAACAGGAAACAGCTACGTTATTTAAATAAGCTTTGAAATGATCAGATTTTATCTCCCAAAGCAGCACTCAGATGAATATTAAAGCCGCTTTTGTTCTTCCGGAAAGGGCTGACATTGCACAGCAAGCTGAAGGCGGTCACAGTCTCTGCTTCGGAAAACCACTAACGCCAGGCCAGCTGCCCAGAGGACAGCCCGGGTGAGGCAAAAAGTCGTTTCCTTACACACATCACACCCACTAGCGGAAAACTCAGCGGGGAGCGCTCCGCCGACTCCCACACAAAGCCTCTGCCCGCTCCTTCTCCGCGTGGGAGGGGAGAGTTTGTCCCAGGCCGGCGGGGGAAGCTGCCTCCGGCCCCAAGATGTCGGTGCCGAGGCCTCCTACCCGCCCCGGCTCCTCCCTAGCGCCGCGGCGCCCCCTAGCGACGGCGACTGCGGCGCACCCCGCGGCGCTCCGTTGCGGCGGCCCCCCGGCCGGAGAGCGGCGGCG